AATACAACTCCACATATTGCTAGGTAGCCTTCCTTTCCTAGCTGTGGATATTCTCCTGAAGGGAGACACAAAAATAAAGGATGTGAACAATCTGAATTCTAATGCTTCTACATTTCATACTATCAGCAATCCCTGTTGCTTTCTGAATATCATGTTGCTTAACTTGAGCATCTATTTCACATCTCATTAAATAACTGTAAAAGCAACCCTTCCATATGAATGTTTAATGAATTTAGGGGAACATCCCACACCGCAATTTGAAACATGAATTCCAACTAGATAACATTTAGTTTAGGATGCAGCAAGAGACTGCATTACAAATGGAAAGTATTTTGAAAGCAAACATCCAGAGTTTTTAACCTTGTATGTGATTTTCATAATCAAGCTGTTGTAAAGAAATCTTTAATTGGCACGGAAGTGGGCTATCAGAAGGATTGAGATTTATTAATCCATATTTTCCTGCAACAGCTGCAAATATAATGAGTTAGGCTAGAGTGAAATGCAAATTTGTAATCAATTTGAATGCTTGGTTCAAAATGAAATATAGGGTGTACCTACAATAGTACAATAATAATTTATTTATATTAACATAGTACCTGTCATTAACAGAAACCCAAAGTGCCTTTCAAAGTATAAGCAATACAACCCTGATTTACCAATCTCCAATTTTAAAAAGGTGGTGGGAAGAGGTGGCACCCTTGCACTGTAATTGGTCAAGCTCCTTTAAAGCCAGCCTCTTTGCAAAGTTAGCTGAGTACCACTAATTGTGTTTTGGACCTCTTCCAAAGGGGAGAGCGAGGATAGCATGTTTCGAAGAATCTGTGCATTGGGATCACTTTATCCACAAATGAAATGTACCAACCTCTAGATTAGCATGCGGCAGATGTTTAACAGTAGCCTGAAATACCACAGCCATTTGACTTTATTAAACTCATAAACCTTACACAAAACATTGTCTACCTTACCCAGTTTCATAACTATTACAGAGAACAGGAGGTAAAATAAGCTGGGTATAAAATTTGGAGGAGTCACCAGACTCAGTTTAGAGAAGGAGGAGTTAAGTCTGGGAGCTTGTGAGGTAGGAAAGAGGGAGAGAGATTTTTGGGATTCACTCAAAGGGGTAGGCAAGGAGAAGACTTCAAAGATTTATAGAAGCACACTTTTGTGGGACATATGAAAATCAAATATCTAAGCCTTCTGAGGTTCCCCCCATTGTCAGTTATCAGGGTTCAGTAGTTGCTAAATATCCCCAATGAACAATTCTCATGGATGCCACGTAAGCATGTCTAATTTTTTGAAGGAGGGTGGATCTTCATCATCCATCTTTTGCCATGTCACAGGCTTGATCATACTTCCATTGAAGTCACTTTGACTTTTGCCTTTGACGTCAATGGGAGAAGGATCAGGGCAAAAATATGCACAAATGATCAGCCTAGCGCCCTGTCTAACTAGCTGGACTGTGCCCTGGAGAGAAGTTTCTGGGCTGGGTGTGGAATCCTTCCCATCATCAACAGATTGTGAGCTGCTGAGGCAAAGTTCCATGGAGACTACTACAACTCAGTGACTGAAGTAGTGCTGTGTGGTCCCAATATACTTCTGTTTCCTCATGGGAATGCTCTGCCTCCCCACCAATGTCCAGCTATCAGTCCCTTCACACCAGAGCCCCATTACAGCTTTTGAGGAGGAGGCAGGACTTGCCCCCTTAGGGTTGATATTTTGCACTTTTGGGAACTAGTTTGAAAGTCTTTTTTTGTTGTTGTTGTTTTACTGTGATGGTTTATGAATATTTAATGAAGTGCCTTCCTGCACTAAAGTTTTTCCAACAATAGAAGCCATTATTACCCTGCAGTTATGCTATATCCTTAACCGTGCAAGGTCATTCTATTTTTTCTTCCTTAATGTCCTTGATCCCAAAGGGAAAACACATTAAAAGCAAGGCTAGAGCATCTCCCTGCCAGCAGCAACAAGATCTGGAAAACAGTATGTTAATTACCATAATTGGTAATCACCATTCTGAACAGCACTGGCTGGTAAGCAAACTTTGGCTGAAAACCATTGTTATTGTTTATTATTTCAAATCCCCCAAAACTGGAATCCACAAACTACCCCTTCAGCTATCATGACAATTATAAAGGTTCATAATAAGCATTATTATGATGACAATAGAATAGGACATCAGTGAAGCTTATGGTGTGTTTGTCAAATGCTCAAAAGACACTAAATAATTATTTACAAAGCTGGAGCAAAATATATTTGACAATTAAAAAGAAAGGGAAAGAGACAATATACATAGTAATATTTGAGACCTATTGTATATAGCATAGGTTAGAGCAAAGGATCACAAAAAGCACTTTACAGACTTCATTTCACCTGCTAATGTGCTGGTAACACAGATGATAGCTATTCTGAATCAGCAACCTTCACAAAAGCTTTTGTAAGGAGGAATAAGAACCGGTTTCGTGTCCACCCGACCAAGACACAGCTTTTCATCTATGCCATTGAGAAGCCAAGCAGAAATTAATCATCACCTGGGATGAAACCCTAGTGGCTAATCATCCAAACCCTGTCTACCTGGTGGTGACATTGGACTGGACACTTTCCTTCAAAGTCCATGTAGAGAAGACAAAAGGGAAAGTTAGCGTCCGTAAGAACAACCTCTGAAAGTTGGTTACCTCAACGTGGGGAGCCAATCCAGCTACTTTGCCAACCACTGCTATTGCCTTGTGCTACTCCATAGCACATTATGCCTATCCAGTGTAGGAATGATCTGTCCATGCTAAGAAATTAGACCCTGTTTTAAATGACAGTTGTCGTGGAATAACAGGATGTCTAAAGCCAACACCAAAGGACAGCCTGTACTTACTGGCTGTCATTGCACCACCTGATATCAGGAGGAAGGTAGCAAGCCAAAGGGAATGATCACAGCAGATGAAAGATCCAAGACATCCATTTTATGGTCACACAGGATGTCTTAAATTGTGAAAGATTGTGTCTTAAATGTCTTAAATTGTGAAAGAATTTTATAACCAATGTTGTGCCTTTGGATACGACAACTGGCTAGGCATGACGAGGTTATGGAATGAAAGACTATGCATAGTAGGATGCACTGAAATAGATCTGGAACCCCAAGAGGATCTTTCCAGAGGGGCCAATACAGACTGGTCAAAGAGGAGCTGCCTGAACCACTTGCGCATACAAACTAGCAGATCAAAGACTAATATGATCAAATGGGGTGCACTCTAATGACACAAATATATGTGAGGTGCAGACCATGGAGCACTTGCTCATTTGCCAATCTCCATTGCTGAAGGGAAGCTACTCTGCTAAAAAAAGGAGCCATACCTTTAATGCACATTGTGTGATCATCCAAAAGTCTTCCCTTCAGCAATGGAGATTCTGTCTAGACTTGTATTCAATCTGCATTTGCTGAACCGGTTCTAAACAGTTTTATATTGTTTAAGGCTAACTTGATCTAAACAAAGTTGACCCTATCCCCTCTGCTTAGCCAAACTAAATATGAAGTAAGTTAGCATGAACTGGTTAAAAATGAGTGTCATATTCACAATTATGAGACAGGTGCTTAGCACTCCCCAGGGATACAAAATAGCTTAATTGGCTGTTGAATTGGTTCTCTGTATCACCCAGGCAACACAAAAGCAACTAGAGTGTATTGATGAATCTGGACCCATATATTAGAATCTTATTCAGAGTTTATGGAGGTCACTGAAAAGATTTCCATTGACTTCACTGGGCTTTGGATCAGGCCTTTGAACCAGTTCAGCAAACAAATTTGGCTGAAGCATGGATGAGGCTACAGTATGAGTTTAGGAACCTGTGGGGAGGGATTGTTTTAATATTGACTCAGAGGTACAAATGTTCTTCCCTATTTCCTGCTGCATCTCAGTTTTTTGGGGGGAATCTTGTTAGACTGAAACCCCTCAAATCTTGTAAGGTCTGACAAACCCTCAGCTGGAGCTGGTATGGAAGGTGAGAGGTTAAGAGCTAACCTTAATTTATTGAATACTGAATTGTGATCCATGATGAAAGCCTATTGTTTCTCTCATCTATCACAAAGAAAAAGAAACAAATCTACTACTGTGGTAAAATGAAGCTTAACAACATTTGAGAGAGAGACAGGATTCTCATTTATGGGTTTTGCATTTCATTGTCTTAGTACATTTGTTCAGTAGAGTATAAATTGCATTTTGTACGATGATTTCTTAGATACACAAATAAAATACAAACTCAGAAAGATTTAAGCATTTGGAGAGGCTTTAATACATCTCATGTGATTGCCCATTATGCTGTATTTCTGGGTATGCTAGCAGGGTCTTTGTTCCCTTGGTCCACTGTCTTTGTTCCTTTCTTCGCATATCTTTGCTCATTAAAAGTGGACGGTACTAACAGTGTGTGATTTGTGGGAAGGGGTGTGGGTGGGGAGACAGCCTTTGGAAAGTGACTAGGAATGTAAGATAAATACTTTGGGATTTATCACACATAATTTCCTTGTTTCAATCAATATCTGATGCTTGTGGGATTGCATGTAAAATTACATGTCACTGGATTCAGATGATAGCTATGTACAAAGCTATTTATGGACAACTAAACTCTTTTGGTTGTGGTCTAATATTATTTCATCTAAGGTCAAGTTCGCAAGATGATCGGGAGTTTCTTCATTGGAGAATCATCTTTCTATTTTTTTTTTATATTGGCGTACATGCATACATTTAGTTCCAGCTTTTGAAATTATTTAGAACCTGGAGTTTACAACAACAAATCCATACAATCTTCATATGCAGAACCATTTTTATTCTTAATACATTATATTGGAAAGTTTAAAATCAGTTGAAAGTAAAGTGAAATATCTTTCCCCCATTCTTCTACCAATCATGGGTGTGAACTAAGGTTATGTCTGAGTAATAGCAATAAGCAAGTCTGATGCTATCAACACCACAAACTCAGCCAGACAATTAAGTATTGCAGTTGGCAAAATTACTTACATTTTGCAGCTGGACTCGGCTTTGTGCCATGGTTTCTGATTTTGCCATCATGCTGGAAGCATTAAGGCTATAGGTTTTCCCATTCTCTGTCTCTTTCAGCTGTTCCTGAATTTGTTTAGTTTGTTTCCTGCAGGCAGAAATACAATTCATATAGAAATGCACTTGTTTTCTCCATTACAATAACTATGATATTCTTATAGCCATGCTCCCCCACCCCCAGCCTCATCTTGTCTTTCATCAGTGATGCTAAAAACTTTAGGTAGAGTAATTAAACACAGATAGCTCCTAGTGGATTAACAAACATGTCAATCTGGTAGCTAATCTACCAGTATCTCCATATATTTCAATGCAGCAAACATTATCTAATGAAGTTTAAAGCAGGGAAGAAAACAGATCCTGAATTTAAATGTATATAAATGTATAAAAGTATATTAAAATACTGCACTGTAATGTTAAACTAGATACTGGTGTTGTAGTATTTTTGTAAGAAAATAGAGCATCCGCTGTGCATTCAACATAGCTCACAAATAGCTTTGAAAGATTAAAGAACATGTTTTCATTTGTAGCAGAGATTTTTGGCCAAGAAACCATTGTTACTGCCGATTTATTATGAAAACTGCCATAGGATCTTTGACTCTTACCTGAAAAGCATTGTAGATTTGATCTTGGTTTAATGACTTTAACAGTCCTGCTTTCCGCATACATGCAGGAAAAGCACTGGATATGAGCCCAACTGGCAAGAAGACAAACTTTTGGGTTGGACTTAAACTCACAACCCTATGTGCTAGAGACGGGGGATGCTACTAGCTGAGCCATAATGACAAGCAATGTTCAGCATACAATTACAGATTTCATTACTGAATTTCTACATCTAGTGCCATACTGTACCATCAATCTGAGTCCTAAAAGTCAGTACATCACTGAGGATGGGATGCAATAATCTGCATTTTAAATATTTCTTTTATCTTTCGAATGCAGACAGCCCAGCTGGGCAGTGATTATTAACTGGACACATTCTTTGGTCTTTTATCTCTGTGACTGTTCATTCAGTCTTGATAAGCTACAGAGTGACTCCATCAGACTTTAAATTACCCATAAAAACTAATTACATTTTTTTTGCTACAGAAAATAGTATACACAGCTGCAGCAGCATTCTTTGGGTGGCCTTATAAAGCCTACATTGAGACAGCTGTACCGGCATAGACCTCTTGTGCAGACGCAGCTGACCACCAACAGAAGGAGTTTTTTCTATCAGTGTAGGAACAACACCTCCCCCAAAAATGTTAGCAACGTCAACAGACGCTCTCTTCCATCAAAGAGGTGCATCTACACTGGGGTTTTGTCAGCAAAGCTGTGTTAGTCAGGGGTGTGTTTTTCCACATCCCTGACAGTTGTAGCTAAGTTGACATAATGTTTAAGTATAGACCAAGCCCATCTAAGAGCAAGAACCATGCTTCACACCAGCAATAGCCCAAATTTGGACAAAGCTAAGTATTTTCAGTAAGGTGCTGAACTGAAATAGAAAACCCAGAGGGGAGGAAATAAGATTTTCTTCCCTTTTTGTGTTGAAATTTGATGTTTCAATGAAAAACTCCATCACATTTTGAAAATGTTCCACCAATCTAGCACTCAGTGCCCTCTGATGCCAACACTACATTAAGGATCTAGTTTTAAACAGCATACAAAGGGTTAAGAATTGATTAACAGACACTATAAACATGTTACAAATGTGAGTAGTATGTTTGTAGGTAATTTAAGGTCATTAGTCCTGGGTTTCCCATACTGTGAGAATTTTTGAGACTTTGACATTTTTACTATCCCAAATGGGATGAAAAGTTGAAATCTCAAAATTTTTTACAAACTGAAAAAAATTCAGATTGGGTCAATCATAATGTTTTGATCAATACTAAATGTTTCATTTCTATTTTGATCTTTTAAATTTGTTTTTCTTTTACCTCCCCCCCCCCACATTAACTTAATTTTGAAACAAAAAGTTGTATTGAACCAAAAATATGGAAGTTTTTCATTTTGAAAATGTCAAAATGGGATGGGCCAATGATTTTTAAATGTTTTTTTTTCCCAACAGAATTTTCATGGCAACCAACCCTTTCCTGCAAATGATTTTGTTTGTGATGAATCAGCATATTCCAATGGACAAACATTTAAATTTCTTACAAGCCAGGGTCAGAGGCCACCTACTACTCACTTGTTGGACTCTATAACCATCAATAAATGATTTATTAAAACATCTATAAGATTTGTTAACTTTTTATAAACTATTTATAAATATATTCATATAAAATGTGACCTAAATAATGATAGCCAAATCGCTTACCAAAAGTAGCACAATATGATTAAACTTTTGGATACAAATATATAATAATAAACAAAAATAATAAAATCCTCATTTTTATATTTATATAGAGACAGAAAGAGAGAGAAAGAAAGTAAGTCTGGGGCTTTCTTTCTGTATGGCTACATTTCTTCACTCACACAGTTATCTAAACACACAGGGATATTCAACTAAGCTCTTGTAACATTTAACATTTGGAATAAACTTAATTGGGAGTCTAAAAGCTTATTCACCAATCAAAAATGATCTACTATTTGACATTTTCATCCTATTTTATGAATATGGAACCTAGAGTTAATTATGGATTTGTGTATATTAAATTCCTGCAACAAGTTGTAAGATGTACTAGAAACTATAAAAGCCAGAAACAGCTGGTCTTGGTTGGTTACTACTTAAAAGTCATTAGACAATTAAAATATTTATTTTGAAGTTTTTATTTGCAAAACAAATGGGTCTTCTTTCTATTTTACAGATGTTCTGCTAACAGATGGTATAAACTGCTGTTATTTCTGCCCTTCAGTCAGAAATGATAATTCAAGTCATCAGTGTCCATACAAATCAAAATGATACAGAACAGTCCAGGTTCTGTTTGCAGTAGTCTCCCTCTATGTTTAACCCTTAAAATACTTCTCTGATAACCTCCAAATGAAGACTTGGAAGGACAGAGTCTTTTAATTCCTCTGGCAATGTATTTTAAAGGTTTCATTTGGTTTTTAAATATCTATATTGAAAATACATGGAAAAATATCATATGAGGCCAGCAACAGGAACTGTGTAATAGTCAGGTTAAGTAACTCTAGATTTTATTCAAGTAAATATTATTTTTTCTAACACTATCAGAGATTCTCTGAGACACAAGGTGGGTGAGGTAATATCTTTTATAGGACCTACTTCTATTGGTAAAAGAGACAAGCTATTGAGCTTCACAGAGCTCTTCTTCAGGTCAGACCAGAGATTCTCTAACTTTTAGGGACATTTTAATTTTTTGGACATGCCATAAATAAATCTAAATATTACCCTACATACAATGATATGTGGTCCTAGGACTCTGAATATGTGGGGAGGGCAAAGCAAGGGAGAGCCTCTGCTGTGACTGGGAACTACCCTTTCAGAGGAGGGGGTCCTTTGGGTTACCACTAACAGGTGAAGCTGACAGTGTGACTCCAACAGAGCCAGGTCAACAGGGAGTAAGAACAGATCCACAGAGGGTGAAGAATCAGGGTGTTGGCTGCTTCCATGTAGATGGCCCTGTGGCTACAGTGGATCCTCCAGGATATGCTGGTTTTGGAGGAAGGAGTCAAATCCATGGTGCTTCCAGCCATCAAGGGAAGGGTTTAGACAATACTCTGAAAGGACTCCAAAACCTACAGGGCTCCATCCAGCTTCTTTTCCATCTCTGACCAGGTCCAGCCATTTCCACACATCCATGATGTCTCCAAACACTGCCTGCCTCCTTCAGACCTGTGAGCAAACCCTGTACCACCCCCTGGTTGTGTAGCTACATGGCCTCTGATGCCTCTCCTGCAGTCTAAGCCAGGAGGTGGGACTATGTCACAGATTTACAAGAATCAAAAAGAGGAGGCCAGTTAGGGAATTCAATTTCTGATACAGTGTGATAGTGCTGGAGTCAGATGTAGCTATCTTTGGAGAATTAGGGATAGCACTCTGGCTGGTGGGTTTGGTTTGTTTGTGTGGTGTGTAAGGCCTCTGGGAAATGGCACTGTAGCCAGACACCCCATTCACATAGGATTTACAACAACAAATTCCATGTAAGGTATATAAGGGCCCCACTGGAGCAATTTGCTCTGGACACCAAGGAAGAATTAAGTTCATTCACCTGCAATCATCAGTAACAGTGCTATTCTATCTCCCCAGTTCTCTCCAAGCTTCATCTCCCAGATCCTGGCACAGACATCTGTTCCTTCCCCATCCCAGCTTCAGCCCTTCCCAATCTCCTGCATCATGATTCAGACTCACAAGTCTGTGGACAACTTGTAGCAACCAGAGCTCCTGCACATAAGTCACCATCCCCGCTCTTCCCCATGAACTGTAATGGATTGGAGTGCTGATCTGGTCTAGATTCCCACCATCCTTCCACAGTGGTGCAAAGGGGGACACACAGTTAAGTAACTGTTTGTGTTTTGTTTTGTTTTTTGAGGAGAGAGGCATATTTCTCTCTTGTTCCCATTGCCTGTATGTATGTCCTTCCAACTCAGCATTTAATTCCTCTTTCTCTCAGCATCCATTCCATGATCGAGTTGAATTCCCAATCCCACCTTGGAGGGAGAGCAATTCCTTGCAGATCTGAGATACGAGTTAAACTTTGCTTTCTATGGCAAGGCTACATGCTGTACTCACAATTTTCACTACGAAGAAGTTCTATATGAAAAGAGGAGCGGGAGAGAAAAGTTCCATTTCTTCTCCCACTATATCCATCTGACCAACACTACATTCAGACTCTGGGTTCAAGGCATACTCTGGAAAAATTAATGTAGCAAATCAGAGTGAATGGGCTTCAATGAAATTTGAACCAACCTCAGCCTTCACCTGAAACTCAAACCAAAACTGTCTGAGGTTTGAAAAACCTTTATTAACCTTTACTATTATTTTTTTTCTATTTTCATACAATGCTTGTGCAAGTCCTGATTTCATCTGAAAACAGAAATGACAAAACATCATAAAGGAGGCAGTTTTGATGAGATTTTGCAAACACAAGAGGTTTGGATAAACATCCAGGTACCTTCTCTGAGGTGGTTACAACTTAAATTAGACGCATAACTTAACAAACAATATTAAAAGATGATGGTCGAGAGGGGAGGAGAGAAAAACAATGGAAAGAGAATACAGCTGTTTGGAAAGCATTTTATTACCAGGGATGGACATTGTATAGGCTCATATATTTCTTGCTTGTTACTATGTTATTTAGTTAGATGAACTATTCACAAACTATTGTCCATAGAATGCTAGTGATCTATCAACACGTGTTGGTGGGCTGCGAAGATGTAGCTGTATATGTCTGCTAATTATGCTCCTTGTTTCCAGCTGGCAGAAACAGAAGAGGAGTGAAGGGAGGGGAGATGAAATGAAGCACAAAAGGAGGCAGTATGATTAACCTTTTTTTTCCTCCAAAAGGACAAAACATTTATTGCCCTATAATATTGCACTGGATTTACATTGGTGGAACTGAAATCAGAATATGCCTATAAACATGTTAGTACTGAAAATTCAAGGAAGAGAGCATTTCCTGTTACTTCAAGGGAGACAAAAGTTATCAGAAAAAAGAACACAGCACTTGTAAAGCCTAATTTTGTGTGTAGACTCGGGTACAGGGCCTTCTGAGATCACCATGGAGAAACTTGCTGTTCTAGACTCTCTTTAGAGACATTACCAGTTTATAACATGCTGGAAAGCCATGGAATAAGACAGACTAGACAATAAACATGCTAGATGAAGGCTCTTACTTTGTTTTGAAGTAGAACGCAGCACAGAGCATGCCCACTATGACTATGCCAAAGACGATACAGGAAATAGACAGCACCTGGCGTTGGTACACCTCTTCACTCTCTGTGGACAATTGAGAATTATGATAGCATCAAAAACAATATTTGTGAAAAAAATGGTTGTCAATATTTTATTATTTTAACAAATAACAGACAAATCTCAGAGATTTGGGAGTTTGGTTCAGCTAAGAACTCAACAGTTTTGATGCTCCTCTGTGGTCTAGAAAACAGTTAAGAAAATTTACAGTAACATGGCCTCTCATGAGATTTCTTGCTAATGGTTCTCAAAGACACTGCAAAACATATAATTAGAAAGACTAAGGACTTTAATTTTATCTTTGGCCTCAGTAATAATTTCCAGTCTTGTTAGAATCATTCTGAATATCTCAGTGGTTAAAGAACCTCGGCCTAAAGACATAGCCAGGACTGAGCAAAGCTCGTTAAGTTTCACAAGGCTCACTAGAATTCAAGCATTTTTCTAACCGAAAAATGAAGTTAGTTTTTTGTTTTGACTAAGTGGTACTACTATCTCTTGCTCCCCATGTCATGCCTTGGATTCCAAGCTTACAAACAACATAAAACACTGAGTGATTTACAGTGCTATTTTAAAAAAATCAATAGAGTTGGATGAAATCCAAAGACTGTGATGCTACACTGCACAGGGTATTACTTTCATGGAAGCTTCTTAAAGTAATACTTGATAAACTTTATCATTTTCTAATTAATTTGAAAGCAGAAACTGAATTGAAATAAACAACCTAGCAAAACAAGAAAAAAACCACACACATCCATGAATGCCAACATTAGCTGGTTAATATACAACTGGAACTCCACATATTGAGGTTGATCAATAGCTCCTTAAAAGTAAGGCTTCCCCTCCCCCTGGCTTTCCTCTCCAGGCTGGCAAGGTGTCAAATAGCTTGGTTCATATCATTATCCCTTAATATACTGCAAGAGAAGATAAGGGCACAAGACTGCAGGAAAATATGCAGATATAGAAATATCTAAATGCCAAAATAGGTTTTCTGATGGGGACTGGGGAGAACATAGAGGTGATATATGCAAGTGAGTGAGATTGGTTATGTCTGTAATAGAGCTGACTGAAATTTTTTGAACATAAAGGAGGGGTGTGTTTTTTGTCAAAAAGGGAAAAGGCATCGTACAAGCAATGTGTGATCCATAGACTAACCCAGCTTTCCTTTCTGGGTTTAGAGTCTTTCAGTGCAGACTAAAAGCAGCGTGAGTTACCGGACTCAATCCTGCTACTCTTACATGTGTTGGGTAAGGTGGTACTAAACCATAAAAGGAGTAGTAGAATTGGGAGAATGGGAGTTTAAAAAACATAAAAGTGATTCTCTTTCAAGACAGTACATACCTAAAAGTAAAACCCTAGATCCATGACTTGTACATAATATCAGCTTAGTGATATATTATGTAGTATTGACAGAGCAGTGCTAGCTGTTGAGGACTGCACACAGACAGCATTCCTCACAGTATAGATTGCTAGTTATTCAGGGGTAAGAATTTTAACACTTCCCCTCCTTAGCAACTCTATTTTACCATTACTAACCACCTTTAAACCTTAAACATGACCATTTATTACTTTAAAGGTCTTTGCCTGGGTCCTCTTTCTTCTGGTAATAATATATTGTAATTAGGGCTTTCAAGCGATTACAAAAATTAATCGTGATTAATCGCGCTGTTAAACAATAATAGAATACCATTTATTTAAATATTTTTGTCTATTTTCAACATTTTAAAATATATTAATTTCAATTACAGCACACAATACAAAGTGTACAGTGATCACTGTATATTTATTTTTATTACAAGTATTTGAACTGTAAAAACAAAAGAAATAGTATTTTTCAATTCACCTAATACAAGTACTGTAGTGCAATCTCTTTATCATGAAAGTTGAACTTATAAATGTAGAATTATAAGCAAAAATAACTGCATTCAAAAATAAAACAATGTAAAACTTTAGCGTATACAAGTCCACTCAGTCCTACTTCTTGTTCAGCCAATCATTCAGACAAACAAATTTGTTTACATTTGCAGGAGATAAAACTGCCCACTTCTTGTTTACAATGTCTCCTGAAAGTACGAACAGGCGTTCGCATGGCACTGTTGTAGCTGGTGTCACAAGATATTTATGTGCCAGATGCGCTAAAGATTCATATGTCCCTTGATGCTTCAACCACCATTCCAGAAGACGTGCCCATGCTGATGATGGATTCTGCTCAATAACAATCCAAAGCAGTGCGGACCAAAATATGCTCATTTTCATTATCTGAGTCAGATGTCGTCAGCAGAAGGTTGATTTTCTTTTTTAGTGGTTTGGGTTCTGTAGTTTCCACATCAGAGTGTTGCTTTCTTAAGACTTCTGGAAGCATGCTCCACACCCCGTCCTGATCAGATTTTGGAAAGCTCTTCAGATTCTTAAATCTTGGGTCAAGTGCTGTAGCTATCTTTAGAAATCTCATATTGGTACCTTCTTTGCGTTTTGTGTAATCTGCAGTGAAAGTGTTCTTAAAATGAACAACATGTGCTGGGTCATCATCTGAGACTGCTATAACATTAAATATATGGCAGAATGTGGGTAAAATAGAGTAGGAGACATACAATTCTTGAGTTCTGATGGGGATTGGGGATTCAGTTCAGTCACAAAATTAGTTAACGCACTATTTTTTTAATGAGCGCCATCAGCATGGAAGCACATCCTCTGGCATGCTGGCCAAATCATGAAGGAGCATGTGAATATTTACCATATCTGGCACATAAATACCTTGCAATGCCGGCTACAATCATGCCATGCAAATGTCTGTTCTCACTTCTAGGTGACACTGTAAATAAGAAGTGGGCAGCATTATCTCCTGTAAATGTAAACAAATTTGTTTGTCTTAGCTGAACAAGAAGTAGAACTGAGTGGACTTGTAGGCTCTAAAGTTTTAAATTGTTTTGTTTTTGAGTGCAGTCATGTAACAAAAAATCTACATTTGTTAGGTGCACTTTCATCATAAAGAGATTGCACTATAGTACTTGTATGAGGTAAAGTGAAAAATACTATTTATTTTGTTTGCCATTTTTACAGTACAAATTTTTGTAATAAAAAAGAATATAAAGTGAGCACTGTACACTTTGTATTCTGTGTTGTAAGTGAAATCAATATATTTGAAAATATATCCAAAAAAAATTAATACATTTCAATTGGTATTCTATTGTTTAATAGTGCGATTAATTGCGAATAATTTTTTTGAATTAATTGCATGAGTTAATTGCAATTAATTGACAGCCCTAATTGTAATATAAATACAAATTCAAATATTTATTTTCTTCTACTACTTCTAGTGCTCATTCAATGACAATTAATAAAGTGATTCAGTCAGATACTGTCAACTCCCACAGACTTCTCTCCCAGTGAAATCTGAGATTCAAAAAGGCACAGTAATTTTTACACAAACACCCGTCCACATATACCCTCTTTATTCATCTAAACTCGCCTTGGATATACTAAAGTTCCATAAGAAATTGAGTGACTTAGACAGGAAAATAATGGGAAATTGCAGTAAACCCTGTTCTCATCAGATTTTTTTTGGGGGGGGCCAATTTCCAAACAGGCTTGTGTAAACTCCAGATCTGCATTAGATGTTGCTGAGCCAAACTATGTGTTTTTGTGGTGCAAATATACATGAACACCGAAGCAGTGTTCTCTTTATTACCCATTCCCATGGTTGCTTACATAAGGCTAATCCTGCAAAGTGATCCATGCAGGCAGACCTTTTTGGCCAGATGGATCATTTTACAAGAGCGGGGCTATCGTCATTACAGAGTTTTTCAGTTTAATAACTCCCAGTCATACTGCTTTTGAGTAGATACCAGCTCTGGTAGATTTTGCTGAAAAGCAGGCTGTTTCCATGCTGCAGTATGTAGCTACATGTGTCAGTGAAAGGCTCTTGTAGCAGGGAGCTGCCAGAGCCTTTTCCTACTGCAAAGAAAGGCTTCTGCAGTGGGCAGCTGCCAGTTCACAGTGGGGAACTACAGGAGCCTTTCCCCAGTGGAGTGAAAAGCAGAAAGGGAGGCATAGCTTGGGCTAGTAGAGAGCTGTGTAGGATATATATCCCCAGTTTACTCACCTAAGCAGTGCCTCACCATCTACAGTATTCCTTATACCTGTGCTATGGGAGCTAGCTATGTAAGTACTCTACACACCACCCAAAGGAGTGTGCTGTGCAGACATACCCTATTACAGTAAGTTCAGAAATGTAATAAAATTTTATAATAATATCTCCAGATATGGCTCTCACAGGGGCATATCTAAATCACATTTTGAGTCAAGGTTCAACTCTGTATTTCTTTTAACCAAACTGTTTTGCCAGTATCTCCTTAATGCTTATCCAAACCCCTAGAAGTCTGTGGAACTGGGCACTAGGTTCTAATATCTTACGCAGACACAGTTCACAAATATACTAGTTCCTTAGCCCTCTTTCTTGTTCCTTTTTGAAATACAGGAATCGCAACAATATTAGGCACGTTGCAGTTCGGTGGTACTAAACTTGTTTGCCATTATTGTGCTAATCTTAAAATCCTCACCAAGAACTTTCCTGTTTCTTTTGCTACTTGTTTCAGAAATTGTCTGTTTCATCTGGATATAGAAAACTCATTTCTGTTTTCTTTCCTACCCTTGTTGTGTCATTTGAGATTGTAACTTCTGTCCTCATCAAAAAAAGTTTCAATGATAATTTTTTTCAATTTAAAAATGGGTTTTGTCAACTTTTTTTTTTTTGCTTTTAAAATTATTGAAATAAAAAATGGGGAAATATGATTTTTTTTTCATTTCAAAATTATGGCACATCTCTTCTCTCGCTCTCTCTTTTAACCTCACCTCACTAGAAAAGTTAGGGGAAAATAAAAAAGTTAAAAGAGAAAGTAACATTCTCTCTAAGTGAGAAAATGAAAATTTTCACACAAAATTTTGAATGAAAACAAAATTTGTATGAAAAACCCCCACAATTTTAACAGCTCTACTTCCTATGTTTTTCACATTGTCTGGAAGAATGGGGC